GGGGGAGTCAGCGACTGGGGCAACAGACACGCGCGGTGGCCTGCCACCGCCGGGAGCAGGGCTCACGTACCGAGGGGCAGCTTCGACCGGGGAGGGGCGTGGCCCTCGCACTCGTCGGCCGAGGGCCCGGAGCACCGGGAGCACGTCGCGTGGCAGGGCACACACCGGGACCCGACGCTGTCGGGGAAGAAGCCGTCCGGGCAGGAGGGCACACACTGGTCGGCCGGCCGGCCGGGGGCCGAGGCCGGCAAGAGCAGCATGACGGGCGCGCAGCGGCCACAGCTGCCGACCGTCGGGCAGGCCAGTGCCCGGCCGTCGGTCTCCCAGCAGGGGGCCATGCCGGCGGCGGCCGGCTCCGGCACCGGGCAGGCCTCGCAGTGTGCCGGGCAGGGGAGGCACACGCGCCGGGGGCTGGCGCCCGGACCAAAGTCCACGGCCCCCATGCCGGGGCCCGGGCAGGCGTCCACGCAAGTGCCCTGGGCGAAGTCCAGCCAGGCGTCGGCCGCCGCGCAGGCCGTACAGGCGGACCCGTCGCCGGTGCAGGCGCCGCAAGAGTGGTGGCATGGCTGGCAGGTGTCGGCGCCGGCCGGGAGGAACTCCCCGGCCGGGCATGCCTCGACGCATGTGCCGCGCCCGGGCGAGTGGACGAAGCCCGGCAGGCAGGCCGTGCACTGGGCCGTGCAGCCGGCCCCGGGGGGGCCGCCGGCCGGTGCCGGCTGGCATGCCGCGCACCCGGCCGGGCAGCCGGGGCAGCTGGCGGTCTCCAGGCAGCCGAAGGTCCCGGCCGGGCAGGCCCCCAGGCAGGCCCCGGCATGGAGGAAGCGCTCCGCCGGGCAGCCGGTGCATTGGGCGTCGGTGGGCCCGGCACACTCGGAGCACGACCCATGGCACAGCTGGCACACGGGCGTCGGGCCCGGGGGGCTGCCCGGCGCCTGGGCCACATACTGCCCGGAGGGGCAGGCATCCATGCAGGCGCCGTGGGCCGTCAGAAGCTGCCCCCCCGGGCAGGCGATGCACTCCTGGTGCCCGGGGCCGAAGCACTCGCCGCATGTGCCATGGCAGGGCAGGCACTGCCCGGCCAGGGGGAAGGTCCCGCTCGGGCAGGCCCCCATGCAGGCGCCGTCCAGCATGAAGGCCCTCTCCTGGGGGCAGGAGCTGCACTGGCTGGGCCCGGGCCCGAAGCAGCCGAGGCAGGTGCCGTCGCAGGCCACGCACATGCCCCCCAGGCCGGAGGCCCCGGCCGGGCAGCCGGCCACGCACTCCGGCGCGTCCAGCAGCCACCCGCGCTCGCACAGGGCACAGACGGCCGGCTGGCCGGGGCAGCTGCTGCAATGGTCGCCGCACTTGGAGCACCCGTCGGGCGCGGTGTGGTAGCCGACCGGGCAGCCGGCCACACACCGGCCGGCGGGGGACCCGGCCGGCAGGGCCAGCAGCCCGCCCGGGCAGCTGGTGCACTCGGTGCTCCGGGTGCCGGTGCACGCGGCGCAGGACCCATGGCAGGGCAGGCACCGCCGGGCGACGGCCACATGCCCGGCGGCGCATGCCAGCACACACTCGCCCCCCTGCAGGACGTCCGTCTGCCCGGCCGGGCAGCTCCAGCACTCGTGGTCGGACGGGCCGCTGCACGCGGCGCACGCCGGGTCGCAGGGCATGCACCCGCTGCTGGGCCAGTCGAAGTACTGGCCCTCCGGGCAGGCGGAGTCGCAGGTGCCGGCCGGGCCGCCGTCAACCGGGCTGAGGGTCAGCCCGGCCGCGCAGTCGGTGCACTGGTCGGCCCGGTCGCCGGTGCACCGGGCACACTGGATGGCGCACGCCTGGCAGGACCCATCCAGGTCGTCGGCGAAGTGCCCGGCCGGGCAGCCGGCCGCGCAGGTCCCATCCGGCGCCAGGAAGAGCCCCTGGCTGCAGGTGAGGCACCGGCCGGCCGCGTCGCAGGAGGTGCACCCGGCCGGGCAGTCGGTGCAGGGGGCCGTGGCGCCGGCCGCCGGCGGGGCGCCCAGCCACCGGTACTCGGCCGCGCACACCTGGCAGGAGTCCGGGCCGCCGGCGCACAGGGCGCACGACGGCCCGCAGTCCATGCAGCGCCACTGGGCCCGGTACTCGCCCGGGGCGCAGGCGCTCCCGCACAGGGCGTCCGCCAGCGGGTTGGGGCTGAGAAACACCAGCCCCGGCTGGCAGACGGCGCAGGCCCCGGCGCGGTGGCACTTGGCGCAGGACGCATGGCAGGCCAGGCACCGGTTCTGGGCGTCGTCCAAGAAGTAGCCATCGGCGCAGGCGGTGCACTGGTCCGCGGCCTGGCACGCCTGGCAGCCGGCCATGCAGGCCACGCACCGGCCGGATTCCACATCGGCCCGGAAGCCGGCCGGGCAGGTGCTCCGGCAGGTGTTGGTCCCGGGCTGGAGGAACCCCCCGGCCGGCGAGCACTGGGTGCAGGCCGCCGCCGAGTCCGGGGCAAGGCACTGGCTGCAGGCCGCGTGGCAGGCCGAGCAGACCAGCCCGCCGCCCGGGGCCGCCAGGTCCTGGGCGAAGCCCGGCGCGCAGGTCGTGCACCGGTACGCGCCCCCGGGGCCGGTGGGGTGGCACTCGGCGCACCCGGGGTCGGCGCACTCGCACGTCCCGGCGTCGAGGTCGGCCAGGGTGCCCTCCGGGCAGGCGCTGACACAGGCATCCGACACGCCGGGCAGCGACAGCCGGCACCGGGAGCAATCCATCAGCCCGGGGCCCCGGCATGTGGCGCACACCTCATCGCACGGCAGGCAGTCCGGGGGAAAGGTCCCGTCCGGGCAGAACACCGCCGCCAGGGTCACCTGCAGGGGGTCATCCAGGGCGAGGCCGGTCAGCAGGAAGTCCGCCACCACCGGCGGCCCGGAGGCCAGCGGCACGGCCCCCGGGACGGCGGGCGGAATGGCCAAAGCCACCACCATGCCCGGATGGAAGAACGTCTGGCTGCGGACACTGAGCGGCATGACGCTGGCCCGGAGGAGGTAGCACGCCGGCACCGGGGCCTCCTCCTCCGGGCAGTGCAGCGGCGCCACCGCGATATGGGCGTGCGTCAGCAGCACCAGGGCGCTGGGGTACCCGGGCAGCTGGGCCAGCTCCACCGCCAGCAGGGTGTACTCCACGTCCGGGCCGTAGGTTTCCGGCTCCGGCAGATGGCCCAGCTCCACCGTGTAGGTGGGGATGTCGCGGGTGCGGCCGTGCGCCAGCATGCCCAGCGGCACGTGCTGCGCCTCGAAGACCAGCTCCTCGTCGAAGCCCGGGCGGATGCCGGCCAGGACCACCTCGCCGGTGTGGCCGCCACGCGAGGGGGTCGGCAGGAAGACCGCCCGGAGGTGGGCCCCATGCTGGTCCAGGGCCCGGCGGCCGAAGGTGAGGCTGGCCCCGGTGGCCCGAGGATCGCGGCTGGCCACCATGCGCAGGGGATTGAGGGCGGTGCCCTCGGGCCCGGCGGCCAGCACCCATGTGCTGTCCGGCCCGGCGGCCAGCCCCGGCGGCAGGGGGAACACCGCCGGGTGGTACTCGGCGCCCACGTACTCCCAGTCCTGCAGGAGGCGCGGCTCGTCCGACTCCACAACCAGCCAGTAGGCCCACCGCTGCCGGGACCGGCCGTAGAACTCGGCCGACACCGACCGGCCGTCGGCCAGGGCTGCCAGGGTCTCGCACTGGTCCCCCCCGCCCGGGAGGATGAGCCACTCGTAAGCCTGGAAGCCCAGCTGGCAGGTGTCCGACTCGCCGGCACTGGCGGAGGCCCCCGGGTCCGGCAGGCGGCAGGCATACCGCACCGACACCACGCCGCCGTCGTCGGTGCAGCCGACCCCGATGAGGGTGGTCCCGTCGCTCGTGTCGAAGGGGCCCAACTCCACGAAGGACCGGAACCCATGCCCGGCCAGTTCCGTGATCGGGGTGGAGTCCACCGCAATCTGGCCATCCGGCTGGATGGCTGCCAGGAGCACGAAGCCCGAATCATCCTCCGGCAGCAGCATCACCCGGTCGGTGTTGGCCAGCGACTCGGCCGAGATGACCGGGCCCGTGGGCCCGGGCCGCATGCGAGTGCGGGCCATGACCCGCGAGGGGAGGGCGGTCGGGTGCACGGCGGTGCCGATGTGCACCGGCCGTTCGCCTGGCCTCGGCAGGCAGCGGCCCCCGGCGAAGGTGTCCCTCCCGAGGCAGTCCAGCACGCAGGCGCCAGCCTGCAACAAGAAGCCGTCCACGCACACGAGGCAGGTCTGCCCGACGCATGCCTTGCAGTGGTCGATGTCGCAGCTGGCGCAGGCGTCTGGCCATGGTCGACCGGGGGGGGGGGGGGGGGGGGGGGCCCCCTGGGGGGGGGGGGGGGGGGGGGGGGGGGGGGGGGGGGGGGGGGGGGGGGGGGGGGGGGGGGGGGGGGGGGGGGGGGGGGGGGGGGGGGGGGGGGGGGGGGGGGGGGGGGGGGGGGGGGGGGGGGGGGGGGGGGGCGAAGAGCCTTTGCACGTGTCCTTCCCAGCCCAGTGGAGGGAGCGGAAGAGAGAGAGAGAGAGAGAGAGAGAGAGAGAGAGACAGGAGAAGGGCGCGGGAAAAATGCGGGGAAAGGATGACGAGAAGAGAAGGGAAGAGCGAAAAGCGGGGAGGGGGACTTCCCGTGCAATGCACACGGGGCAGACCGGCCAGCCGCATGACAAGGACATCTCCCCCCCGCCCCGCCCCTCCTCGCGCGCAGCAGCTCCAGGGGGGCTGGCGGACGGGCGGACTTCCCGGCAGGGGACCACGCATTGGAGGAGGCAAGTGTATTTCACATCCAGGGGTTTGGGGGCTCCCCGGCCAGGTGTCAAGCCGAGGAGGCACCCAGACCGCCGGCCGCCACGAAGTACATGGCACACTGCTGGCGGAAGGCCGTGGCGCTGGGCCGCCGGGCCGGGTCCGCCTGCCAGGCCGCCCGGACCAGGTCCCCGGCATTGGCGAAGGGCCCGGCCCCGGGCAGGGCGCCGGCGTCCGGCCGGTGGTCGGCCAGCACGGCGGCCATGATGTCATGGATGCTGAGGCCGCCGGGCCAGGGGGCCGACCGGGTGACGCACTGCAGGAGCATGACCGCCGCGGCA